AGGGTAATTCTACTTCCTTGTTGTGGAACTGTGTTACCTCTATTGTTTGGAAAGCTCTCGCAAATCTTGAGCTGGAAGTGTAAAGCTAGAATATTTCTACGGCTAGAGAAGAAAAGAGTAGACATGAAAGCCAAAGTTGAGCCTTGAAGACCTCTCTCCTATCCTTATGGACCAGGTCTGCTTCTACCATCCATTCAGGGACATGAGTTCAGAGACAGTGCCAGGGTCATGCTTCCCATGTGTTCTCTTTGGTGTCTCTTTTGTTCTGGGAATCACACAAGAAAGTTAACTTTGTCTTTTAGATACGCCTGAGACAGGGTAATTTTGCTTCAAATTCTCTTTCACCATTAGAGACAGAACAGCACTTGGTCCTAAATAATCCCACCTACAACAAAATCACATCCTTGACAATCACCTGTGAGACCACTGATGTGAATACAAAGAACCTCTTAATGCAATTAAAATTAAGTTATAACCTTAACCCTAAATGTCTGTGCAGAAAGCTGCCAAACTTTACCAGGGTACCTAAAGCCCTGATTTCAGCAACAGCTGTACCAGCATTCCAAACTGTTAATTTCTGCCCTCAGTTCACCAAGAGTCCGGTTAGCCTTGCACTGTAGTCGGTATTACCTTTTTCTATGCTTAGAGTCACTGAGATAAAGCTAAAATTTGGGATTTACCATGCACGAGGACCGGCTCTCTGTTGGATAGAATGTCTCCAGCTGCCACTGCTCTTGGGTCGCAGGCAACTGAATCAACAAAACCAGTTTAGCCTAAAGGCATGAAATCCCACCCTCAGATAAACTACCCAAAAGTAGAGCAGTATTAAAAGTATAGCAGTTTTGTGAGCTACACAAAATAAATAAACACTGAACTCTATGCTGAACATTGCGATAGAACCCTAAATCAAAGAGGCAGCTCTGCCTAGATTGTCCCTTTAATGAGTTCCTAGAAGAAAGAACCAAGGTTTTTAGATTAAAAAAGATTATACCAGAGTAACACACCTAATTTTAAGTAGAGAAAATTTCTATTGATTATGCCACAACAGAACATTAAAAAAGCCCCTAACAGCACAAAATTATACAACTTTCCTCATTTCCAATGTGTTATTAAAGCTGGAATCTACCCCCAGTCTTGGTTTTAGATAACTAAGTGACTTCCTGGGTTGCAGTAAACTTTACCCAGTGTCTGATAGACCCTTCTATCACCTTTGAAGCCTGGCATTTACAACCATCTTCACTCTCTGCTTGTCTCCAGGCTGCCATGCATATACTGGGACTCAAACTTCTGCCTCCAGTGCCCTCTTGCCTCCTAGACAAAACTCTGCCCTTCAGGAAAAGGCTAATTCTTTTGAGAGTCCTAGCACTCATCTCATGTAATTTAAAGAAATATCACATAACATCAGGAACAATCAAATCAGGCATGCTCTTTAAACTGCCAAGGCAAGGGTAAAGATGTAGGAGAGGCTTGCCCATTAAAACTGGAATGATGATGTCAGAAAACCCCAACCAAACCAACCAAAAACCAACCAAACAAAAAAAAGGCAAATGGTTTGATGGAAATGGGATTTCATAGGCAAAAGTTTAAATATATCACGTAAGCCTAGGAGACTGCACTTTTGGTTTGTTCTGATGTTGGATTCAGGAGAACAGCACGGAACTTGAACTCTCTTAAATTTCACTTGAACAGCTGAAGACAGAAATAAAACCTAACTTAACGCTTCATAATGGATACTATAAACAAGGGTATAGAAGTCAGAAGGGAGTTGCTCTGGAATTAAAATACTAGTAATAGGAAATACTAATCTCAAAGAAGAGGATTCTCCTTCTGTGTCTGAGACTCCTAAATGATGTAACTCTGAGAAAGACAGTAAGGAGATGCAAGCATGACACTTCTGCATAACCTCAGCATGAATACCGGTGTAAGTGATGAACAGACCAGGCAGGGCTGAACGAGTCACCTGTCTCTTAACCTGAAGGATTCTCGAAATTCCTAGAGAAACAGCAGTACAGTTCCCAGTTTCCAGACCACTACTGAAAACTATCATATAGGAAAGGGTAAAAAATGACTTGTTTTTTTGCTGTGAGCAAATGAAAATTGTCGTGGTAAGAAAAAGGAATGTTATTTCTACTGGTTAATTTAGTTGTCTAAGACTGTTTTTCACATAATTTGACTTTGATAAATGGATACTGTGGACCCAGAACTATAAAATGGTTTAGTAAAGACAGAAAAAAAAGGCTTGTCCTTTCTGAAGAAAGAGGTTAGAGCTTGTGTTCCAGTTCTGCCCAGTGCTTCAATGTAAAGGGAAGGAAATAGTTTGAGCAAACCAGAGCAGGAAACTCCCATATCCTCTTAACAAAGACTCCCCCACATGGCTTATGACACCAAAATCACTGCATATTTTTACTAAAGTTAATCATAGATGTTTCTAAAGCAGTTTTGAAAATGTGAAAGTTTAGGCTATTCTGACTGGCCTAAACGTATTATCCTAAGCACACCCAGTCAAATTATGTGATAGATCCACTTTTTGTTGAAATATATGGATTTTGACAATTAGCATTTTGAACAAAATAGTTTGGTTTTACACACTGAATAATTACAGTTCAACTGACTAAAACAGAGTGCTGAATCTTCCTAACAAAGTGACTTTTCATACCATTCACTGAAAATAGTTTGAGCTGAACCAAACTTACTGAAAGATAAGCATTGCTAAAAGCAATATAATGAAATCTTGTTTCCTGTACGCATTAAAAGTTCACCTTTTTGTTCACGCTACCTTAGCTAAATCCTGACATTTTCATGAGATGGAAAATTTGTTTCTACTTTGGAGGGGCTCCAATTCTCACACTATTAAAACAGCTTTAATATAATATTGCAGTAAATTCTAAAAGCAGGAACAGGTAAAATTCCAGTAGGTTAAATCAGGTGTTTCACCAAAACGGTAGAAGCATTTTATCCTGAATGGTTATTCAATAAGTTGTCAAATTATTCACGGCAATGCTAAAAATGTCTGAAAACAACTGTACCTGTCTATTTGTTTAACAGCTTAAATATAGTCTGTGGTCTGTTATTTATTGTGAGCCAATATGAGGAGTTTTACCTTAATTCTTTTTCTTTGATATAAAGAGACAAAGATGCAAAGGAAACAAGATTCCCACCCATACAGAGACTTCTAGGGGGAACCTCACCCTTCAACACCTAAAGACTGCTATTAGAGAACGACAAAAAACACAATGCATGAATAAAAGACATTAATGGGCAGAAGTTACACCAATAATCACAAAAGTATGTAGACCTATGCAGAAGAACCAAGACATAAACATGAAAGCATTCAAGTAAAATTTCTTTAGCACAGCTCCTGAGAAATGATGATGTTTCAGAGCGCAATATGCATTGATTATCCACAGTCCCTATGGCATTTTATCCTAGAATCACAGAATAGTTTGAGTTGGAAGGGACCTTCAAAGCTCATCTAGGCCAACCCGCCAGTGATGAGCAGGGACATGTGCAACTAGATCCCACATCTGGAAAGAACTAAATTTACTCCACAGACTAAATTACATCTGCATTTGTTAAGTCTGGAACTTAGCTTTAAAAGTACTGCACCAAAACTACACAAGAAAATAAGTATAAAACAAGCATAAAACCTCCACAGATCAAACTAAGAGAAAATCTGTCTAAATCAGATTGGTACATGTCAACTATTCATCCCAGCAAACTACTGGCTAAACTGAAGTTCTGGTTTCTGAAGAATCTGATAGGTATTTCACTGCATATTTTTACCTAAAAAAGGAGTAACATTCCCTTAGAATATTAACACCTTAGAGTATAATTAAATGTATTCTGTCACATATTTAACATCAGTGAAAAATTCAAGTATGCCTGAAGATCACCCTAAAGAGACAGAACGAACCAGCCTATACTTTCACAAATATATGGGAACAGCACCATGCTGATTAACTCGCTATCATAATGCCTATCTTGGTGATCAATATTCAAAACTTATCAAATCTTGTTCTTAGGATTAGAGTGGCTTTATTTTGCATGTTGTCATCAGAGTAAGGACTGGATCTTTACCCCAAGGTGTTCATAATCTAACAGCTGGATTTGCTTCTAATACTATTTACACAGAACAGCTCTGCCATGCATAAGATGTCCAAATTTTGCAGAGACACAACACTTTAAATGAGCAGAGATCAAACTGGGAAACAAGGTAATAACGGAGAAAGAGCGCCAATGTTAAAGAGTGGGGAAGAAACCTGAGCATGTTAAAGCATTTTTTCCTAATCATACAGTTTGCTTGACTTCATACTTTGTCTTAAGTAAAAACAAGACACAGTGCATAAACAGAAAATTAACATGGAATTAACTTTACAAGAGCAGATGAGTTTAAGGTGTAAGGCAGAGAACAGAAAAAAGACACTGGCATAAGGACCAGAAAAAAAGAACAGGATTATAAAAGGGAGAAAACCAGAAAAACTAGTATTTGAGCAAAGGCTCATACAAGTATGACACTGGGATTGGGACTTCCAGTTTTATTTTGGTGTCACCTTTACTTCTGGTCTGTAACAGGGTGGATTGATTAAATTAGTGGAAGTACTGGTGACATACATCCAATGTCAAGAACACAGGATCAGACCATGAGCTGGGAATGAAATTTGAAGCAGAGACTAAAAGAAGATAGCTGGAGTTCTTTGGAATAATATTTAGATAGTTAGCTTCAAACTGGGTAAGAAGGCAAATCATTAGAATAAGTGAAGACAAAAGATAAAGACAATGTTTCACAACGAATACCTAACTTCTATTAAACACTTCTTTAGATGATGGGAATTCAAAAGTCTGTTAATGTCCCATCCATTTTATCCTTGGACTCTGGATTTACTTCAGATTTTATACCATCAACGTTCCAGTAATTTATTTAATATGAATCAGCGAGACAAATAAGATTCTTTTTGGTCTGCATTCATAATTCTACTGTCTATTTTTTACTGCTATATTACCTTGCCAACAAGCACCAACTGTGAGCTGCATGGCTATGTGGGAAGGGTGGATAGGCCAGTCATTGGTCACAAGGTAAGGTTCATACGTTGTTCCATCCGTGTATAATGTAACAACAGGAAATTCAACATTGACAACGTAATAATGCCATTCTTTATCACAAATCTGAAAGACAAAATGCAAGAAAAATAATTAATTACTGCCAGGTGACTAATTTTTATATCCTGTATGTTTTTTAAATCCTCTGGTTTCCGAATTTCACTCAGAGAAGACAATAATGTTATTTTGATTTATACATCACTAAAATTAATGAAAGTTCAAACTATGTCGATAAATACTCTTGGCATACTTGCAGAATACAGCTGATAAATAGAGGCATCTTAAAACACACTATTTGAAAATGGATAACAAACAGAAAAATCAGGCAATTTGGTATCTGCATTTTCACATTTGTGAATACACAATATTAGTTTCTTAATGTCTGCATCCAATTTTGAAATATAAAACTATATAAGAAATGCATACTTGGGATGTATCAGCATAATTACTGTTAGCTTCAGAAGATAATAGACAGCACTTAGTCATTAGATTGACGAGTTATTGTCAAAGATTTGATTCAATTTTTGTTATTAACTTACTGCATTAGTACTTGGAAATTCCTATGCAATGCCTCAGGACTTCCATAGTACGAGAAGGACCTCCGTTGTACTCTGTATACACATGGATGGAGAAGCAGTGCATATGTCCACCTGATTTGTGCAGGAAACACAAATGTTCTCCATCCTTCATCTTCTGGCCTTAAGCTTTTTCCCAGATAGTTAGCAAAGTAAGGATCTATGTGCTTTCAATGACATACCTCAGCTTTGAAAACCAACAGCAACAGTTACAACATAATTTCAAGACTGCAGTATTAATATCAAATCTCAGTCAATTTCTGAGCTGAGCGACCAGGTGGATCATTGCAAGATGGTCAAATTAGGTTTTAGTTCAAAAAGGTACAGCCAGATGAATCAGTGCCTCTGAACACGTAAGTCTAGTGTGTAAGTATCAAAGCCTGCCCAATCCTTTCTTCCTTGGTTGTATCTTTCAAAGTCCTAAGAATTAAACCATGGCAAATTGGTAGGATGGGCTGTTTTCAAAAGTAAAGCAATAGTTACAGTCATGCCCCTTTCAGGTCTGTAGAGCTACTTGTTTTGATGTATTAAGAAATGGAAGTTCTTGCATGAAGATATCCTTGCTGTTTCATAGAGGCAAGCAGAAAAGGGATGTTTTAAATGTAACACTTTGTCCTTGGCTGGGTTAAGTGCTATCTACTGCAATATCTGCCCCTTGAAAGCAAAAGCTAATGTTTTGTTCCAAAAGACACTTCAACAGGCACTTAATCAGTTCTATTTCAACGGATGCATTTATTACTACAGACATCATAGCTCCATAGCAAGACATAAATGCGGTAAGAGGGCTGCTAGAGCCTTCCTTTTGTAAACAGTAGACAGCACAAATGTTTTCTGAAGGTTAAATGAACTGAAACCAAAACTGAAAGTAAATAAATTGAAAGACTGAAAACTTTATTGGACAAACAGCAATCACAAATAGCATTATGCAGTCCTCCCTTTCAAGGAAAAACTATTTGCCAGGATTTCTGACTGATCATTAGAATGTGATGCATCAGAGCCATATGCATCAGACATTAAATACACTAAACAAAATGAATGATGTGCCCAAGTTGGAGATACCTTGCATTACAAAAACTACAGGCGTTAACACTTGACACCTTTCAGAGAGCTCTTCCAGAGTATTTCTCTGTTGCAAACCTAAACTGCATCACCTAGGATGCCCCAAGTGCTATTGTGGAATACTTTAATACAGAAAACACAAACAGCTGGGACATACTACACATAAACACTTGATAATGTGTAGTTGGTCTGATTACTCTACTGACTTAACCAATAGGGCAGTTGTATTTTTCAAAGAAAATGCTTTCTGAAAACACAGCATTACATTAATTCCACAATACAGGGCTCCAGTGCCTCCAAGAAAAATGCAGACACCCAACTGCACATGTCCACACTAGGCAAGGTACTTACTAACCTTTCTTTTTTCTGATGTGTCCTGGAATGTAAGACAGTGTAGGCAGCTTGGTAAAGTCCTTACAACTTATGTGCTTTTCCTTAGATCTCAACACACAAACACCAAGTTTTATTTTAAAGGGAATTCTGGCACAATTCATGAGATTGTGCTTCCTGAGTTTTCAAAAGCAGCCAAGTTGGTCAGGCACTTCACTGTCATACAATTTCAATCCAGCTTAGGTACACAGACACAGGTATATGCTACAAAAAGAACTTTTAAATATCTGTACTGGGTCCCAGTGTAAAAAAACATTCCACAAGGAAGCAATGCAATTATTTGCAAACCTGGAATACATCCCAGTCATTCAACAGCAGGCAGTATTTCATGCCTGGCCATTTCACAGGCAACAAAATAATGAAATAAATAAATGTGGAGGGTAATTTGTTATGCTGTCATTTCAGACACCTTCTTCACCTTGTTAGCACAGGGAGCCAGATTTTTTCCCTGCATGCGCTCCACAGTGGCAATGGCATATAACATGATTGCAGTGAAGCCATGAAAATAATGTTATAAAATGTACTAGTTTGGAAAATAAATACATTTAATAATCTCAAGTAAGGACTTTATTTCTTAAAATCTAATTTATAGAGCTATCCTAATGAGATAAAATTACAGCTGAGTAAGCTGGGCTTTCAAAGACTGCTGCATGGCGAGGTTGGTCTAATCACTCTATCGTGTCAGACTGCCTCTAAAATGTATTAATCAAATCATACTGAATTAACCAGCTTGAAGTCTTAGTGCTGATTACAAGCCACTGCTCTGGAATGTGCTTTTATGAAACAGATGAAAGCAGACTCAAATGTACATCTTATGAAGTAAGTTTCCCAAGACATTAAATCTAATGAGGAATATCAGAGTTTTTTTCGGTTGAATACTGAATGAACCAAAAGGAATGAACAAAACCCACAGAACTTTGGTCTGAAAAGCACATGGTGTTTAGAAACAGGCTTTGCTGTTTGCACAGTGTCTCTTTTTCGAGCTTTGTACATAAGAGCTAGGCATGCACATGTGAGAACATGCACTTTACAGCTTCCAGCTTTTTTAGCCTCACTTAGGTCAGCTGGGGCATACTCATGCAAAATGTATCATTCACCTGTTTGGTTAGATAAATAAAGAGAGCTTGCACTTTGAGCAGTTCAGTACCGAACAGCCATGCATGCTCACAACCCTCTGGCTAGCTTCCTGAAAGCCCCTTAAGTGATGTTCAGCAGACCACTGACTTTGACCACACACACAGCCCTGCACATCCTGTCAGTGCTACTCAGAGGACAACTTGAATCTAGCCCTTTAGAGCTGAGACAGCAGATACTCCTTCCATCTTTCTGGTTTGTGTGACTTTGCTGACAAAGTGGTCTCAGAATACACTCAAACATCCATGAAAAAAGCAGTAAATGGAAGAAGAAAAGGGCAGGAAGGAAAGCTCTCTACTTACTAGAAAGAGCACTACTTAGTGCAGGTGTAAGACACAAACTCTTCTTTCTGCCTAAGTAGTCTGAACCATTACTGTCGACAGGTTTTTTGAAGAAAGCACCTTAATCCAGCTCTAAACCAGGCCATGCCACTCTATTCACTTATTTATGCTGCTTGTAGTGTCTTAGCATGCTCTGGACTGCCCCCCCACCCCGCATTCTTTAGACCACATCTAAAATGCTGTACCTCGTTTTGGACACCTGAGTACAGTAAGTACAGGGACAACAAAATGGCCAGCTCTTGCCATGTGAGGAGAGGCTGAGAAATTAGCCTGGAGTGGAGCCACCATTAGGGGGATGGGAATAGCAGCCTTCCAGTGCCTAGAGAGAAGTCACCAGGAAGACAGAGAGAGGCTTTTCAAAGTGATACATGCTGTGACAGAGACACAGTGCAAATACATTGAAACAAGACAGGTTCCACTCTTGCTTACCTAGTACTTCTGTTAACTGATGACTGCTTATGTGAGCTAAGGCTCACCAGAACAAGAACTGCTTTGCAAAACAGATTTTTAAAATCCCCTTTTAGAAATAAACCACCAAAATCCTAAAATCTCTGGGAAACAATCCCAAATCATTGTTTTTCATCAGTCATGGTACTTCACTGTAAGCATACTCCAGGCATAAAAAAGAAAATAACGTAAAAAGCAAATCCAAACAAGAGGTAGGTACAAACTGTGACCATTTCATTTGAGAATGATAAAATGCTTTCAGACTCTTGTCTCTTTTTTCTTTCATTCTGATTTGGCTCGTAGCAGCAGAGAGGGAAACATTTTGAGATATGCTAAGTTTTCTTTTTTTAATATCTGCAAGCAACAACAGAGGACTATATCCTCCAGGTAACTCCCTCACTCTTTCATCCCTCTGATACACAGCCCTCCCATCTGTCTTGCAAGTATTATTTTTCTCAGTATTACTCTTTCTCCTAGGTATGAGTTTCAGTATTTTATCATTTTACCTACAGCATTTAAAACTATTATAGCACCTTAAATATTCATTTATATAAAACTAATAAATTCTATGCGATTGGTATACACCACTGTTACAGGACCAATTCTGGTCTTGTCCTCCATTTTCTGTTTTGTTTTTGCTAAATTACGTTGCCAGCAACCTGGTCAGCTGCCTGGCTCACATTCTTTCACTAACTCTCATCCCAATCAGACTTAATTCCAGTCTTATTACCTGATTCAGATTTAAATGGTTGCACATGAGAATAAATTATATAGTATCTTCTTCAAAACAAATTCCTAGGCAAGGTCAGAATGTCAGTTCTGTTGTGGTGTTGCTAACGCCCAAAGGGAACGCTAGGGGCTCGTGCATCTCCTCAGGGAGGGTACTGGGACTGAAAAAGAGACTGCTGACAGCAAATTATGTGCTAAAAACTTGGAAATATTAAGCAAACCATAACTGTAATGACAAATAGCTGGGCTGGTGAGGCCAACCTGGACAGTACTTTTTATTTTTGTCACCGTCTAGAGGTGTCTTAAACCTACAAACACAGAGCTTAATTTTGATTATGAAAGTGAATAAAAGATACACACAGAAATTGTAAAGGTGTTTAAATCTCTCCCT